AATTTCCCCCAGGGATCAATAAAGTATTCTGATTCTGAGTTGATATGAGCAAAAAACAAAACAATCAAACAATCAGATATATAGACATGTTATGTGCAATTTTATTTTAGGAAAAAAACAACAACAGGAAAGTAATTTAAAAAGACAGGGAAATGGTAAATATTAATAAATGAATAAATCAAAGAACACATAAATACCTTAAAACAGATAACCCTAATACCAGCTTTATGAAAAAAAAAATAATCCAGAAATACCCATACATATCACAGTAAAGAAAAAAAACGAAAAAAAACAACAACAACAAACAAAAAACCCTCTAGCAACCCACCCTCAAAATACTCTGGCCCAGCCCCTTGACCTTGACTTTCTATTAATTAAATGAGACAGCGGTTACAATTCATCATTTAACTGACATAAGCTGACCATAACAACAGGATCGAGTAAAATGATTAAAATATATGAAGTAAATTAGGCATCAACAATAAAAAGTTATATAGTACAATAATGACAATATCAGTAAAGAGGGGAATGGGGAGAATGGAGTAAAAGGCAAACTCGAAGTACACAACATTACCATGTCCTTACAAGGCCTTGTAAGACATACAGTACATAACAGATAATATAGTGATAAGATAAGCCTACCATCTATCTGAAAGAATATTAAACTTATCAGCTACACCACTTATGATTTGACCCACTGATTAACACAATCAAAAAAGGTCCTAAAAACTCATGTGTTTAACCTGATTGTGCCTCTGGCTATATAGTATGATGTCTTCCAGTAAAGTGAAGGTTTCTATGTCACTCTGAGTAGCTGTTAATTTCATTACCCACCTGAGCCATGAAATGTGGCCATTGGGGGGGAGGGTAACTTTGGCATGGAAAACAGGGGTTAAGGTCAGTGACACAGACGGCCTTTCCATGCATACAGTACGTAGACACATGTTAATACACAACCACACAAATATACACACATTCACTGCATGCAGAGCTGCACTGGAGAAAAACAAACTACCATACAAATGCATACACACACTCTAAAGTACAGGTAAGTAATTCTGTATGGGAAAATATCTCATACAATCTAACTTTAGGCATACCCCTGCATATCGCCTGAGTCAGAAAATGGGCCTGAAGTACCCAAGCCAGTGACAGGGAGAAAGCCTTCAAATGTGAGGTGTGGACTCTTACAAATGACAAATAATACCCTAAGTTATGAATCCCCACCCCTCAACAACCATCACTCTCAAGGCACTACATGTAGGCGATACTGTGTAAAATTTACTTAGAGATGGCCTAAATTCAAACCTAATCATGTCCTTTTCTGACTTCTCTTGTGTTCTCAGTGTCTTTGGCCTTCTATCGACCTTTTCTCTCCTAATTTCCATCATGGCACATTTGCTCCCCTGTTTTGAACTAGTCAACTTCAAATTATACCCATAACCTGCCCTGCAAACTTCTAGATTAGATTTCTTTTCTTTTGTATTTAAATTGATGCAAGAAAAGTGGCACACAACTTAAGAGTCCAAAAACCATGGTGTGTGTGGTCTTTTGAATCATTTCAGATCTGCTCCACTTTGCTAGGGGTAACTGGGTGATCGGAAATTGAGCATCTGCATAACTTTTCTTTCCCATTCCCCCACCCCAAATATCCCCCCCTGTCAAATTTCAGTGGAGCCTGTCCTCTCTATCTGTGCTTAAGGACAGCCCCCTCTGCTCCCAGTGCCTATAACAGTAGGCAGGTGGACTTCCTGTTACGCTTCTTGGCCTGCAGCGCAGCTCTAGTTGCCATCTCAAAGACTTCCCTCACACCATCTTTGGTTTTGGCAGAACACTCTTGGTAGCCGTAGGCACTGATGCGGTTTGCCATCTCTTTGCCATCTTCATATTTGACTGGTTCCTGGGGACACATGTCACAAAGAAAGTTTACATTTGAATATTATTTTATTGATTTAACTTGTTTGTTTAGCTGAATTTTCTGAAGCCACCACATTTACCTGTTTCATTTTGGCTAGCTCTCGTCTGGTGTGGTCATCATTGCGCAGATCTTTTTTATTTCCTACCAGGATGATGGGAACATTTGGACAAAAGTGCTTCACCTCAGGAGTCCACTTTTCTGGAATATTCTCTACAGTGAGGAGAATGAAAAAGCAATTAATTACATACATCAAGGGGTTCAATACTTACTAGTATGGATGGTGCTCAGATGGTACCTAAACTGTCAGGACTGTCCACAGAGAAGCACATGAGGATAACATCTGTGTCTGGGTAGGACAGGGGCCTCAGCCTGTCATAATCTTCCTGACCCGCTGTGTCCCAAAGTGCTAGCTCTACCTGAAAAGACAGAGAGTAACAGAGTTAAATGACTGGATAAATCTACGGAAGAAGAAAAGCAAAGGCAGAAATGACAATAATATAATTTGATTAGTTAGACAGACTAGATATGGTATAGCAGCAGCTAGTCTGATGACCACGATGCAACATAATAAAAATTCACTGGTTGTGTTGAAGCATCCTGAGACAAGATATTGAAGAATGAGTTGCCCCTGATGCACCCATTGAAGTGTGATAACGAATGTTAGATAAATATGTATGATTGAGTAAATGTCACTAGACTGGCAGAAATCACTTCAAATGCTCAAATTGAGTAGAAAGGTGCCAAGTACCGGTCCATTAGCAACTAATTAAAGAGGGCAATTGCTTTTATTTAAATGCCATACAAGCACCCACAGCATTACAATCAAAATTATTTGCAAACCATCATTCCCTCTCACCTGTTTCGCGTCCACTTCAATGTCTGCCACATAGTTTTCAAACACAGTGGGTACGTAGACCTCTGGGAACTGGTCCTTACTGAACACGATGAGGAGACAGGTTTTCCCACACGCACCATCACCGACGATCACCAACTTCTTTCTGATAGCAGCCATCTATGGAAGAGTTGAAAACATTGTTGCGCATCCTAAGACAATACTCCCCAGTTAAAAAGAAACACTTTGAGGTGCATTAATAAATAAGCAGTCTAAATAGGACTAAAATTTTCCGATGCTTCGCTTACAGTTTCCCTTTGCTGACATCTAGCACAAAAATACATCAGAAATCGCTAGTAACGCACAGAGGTCTCGTTAACCGTACAGTTTGGCAAATAGTTCCTAGCTTACGTTACTATGTACATTTAAAGCCGGAACCGATGGCAAACAGGCGGAGGTGCCACTGAGGTGTAGAAACAATTACTCAAACGTTTCCGTGCTACATTCCTATTCCTACTAAAAGCCCGACTACTCCAGTCTGGGGCCTGTCAAACCAGCCTTTGCTAGCAGGAAAGCTAGCGGTGTTTCCTATGAGTTTTATTATTGTCATTCAAAATCCTCCCTCTTAAATTATAACTACAGTATTCATCCCATCACAGCCATATTTATGCGCCTGAAACAAGAATCGGCTTACAGTTTATACGTTATATGGAGAATTTGATTACCTTGGTGTTTCTCTGTACGCCTTTCTCCTCTTCCTGACCGACTGGAAAACTCCGCCCACCGCTAGTACACATGCGCACTATTACGTCATTCGCAAGTAAAAACCGGTGTGACGGGGAATAATACATAGGTGGCCGTTTGTTTATCTGTTTGTTAGCGAGATAACGCAAAAACAACCCAGCTGAATTTTATGAAAGTTGACGGGGAGGTGGCGCATGAGCAAAAGAAGGATCTGTTGAAATCTGGGGCAAATCCATATTACTTTCAGCAAAATTGGGTATTTTGTCTGAAGGACATTGCTCTCTCCGAACTGTGCGAATTCATTAATTAAGTTAAGGTACTGGACTACTAATTTGTATAGGAATGTCAACCTATGGTGACCATAATCACCATAGGTGAACAGTATGTTTATAGTTTGAATACACACAAAATGGGTGTGTATATATGAATGCATTTGTACATATGCACCATTCCAGTCTGGTTAGTCTCCCCAGCTGACTAACCATGCTCATCCTATTTGAACTTGGGTTTTAAATCCTATTTCTCCAGCAGCACTCAGTTTATTAATAAAAAAATGTATAAATCCCATTTACTACTGGTGTCCCCCAAGAATCTGTCCTGGGACCCCTTCATAAATTTAATATCAGCTTCCATTGTTATGCTGATTGTATGCAACTCTACCTGTCTAACAAACCTACCATTACTCTCCCACCCACAGCCTTCTGCATTTGACTCAAATCAAATGCAGCTTTTTTCAAACTGAACATTAATAAAACTGAGGTTCTCCTCATTGGCAACAAATCCATCATGTCTAAATGTAATTTTTTACCCTCCCTATTGACAACTCCTCAGTTTCTCCCTCCCTCTTGACTCAGGCATCCTCATACTTTCATCTTTGTAACATCAATCACCTTGGTCCATTTCTCACACCTAATAACACTGCGGTACTTGTTCACACCTTGGTTACGTCCCACATTAACTGCTGTAACGATTTTCTTTTTGTTTTTCCTTGCAAGTCTAGAACTCTGCTGCTCACACCATCACCAGAACTCCTTCCATTAATCACATCACACCTGCTCTTCAGCAGCTCCACTTAAAAATCGTACTGATTTCAAGATTCTTTACTTCTCTGAACTTTTGCACATCAGCAAAACAATTCACACTCTTCTTCTTCCCTCCTTCTTACTGTCCATTCCCCGCCATTTGACTACCATGGGGTCTAGAGGCCTCAGTACTCTGCTCACCACCTTTGGAATTCCATCCCACCAGACACGCTTCTTTAAAAGTGGCATATTCACTCTGATGGTCTTCTAATATGAATCCTCTGATCTCAACAATTTTGCATATTGTAGATTTTGTTTATTAGCTTGATGGGTATTTGTCAGTTTATTACTCTAGTTTTAACTCTTCTGTGTGAGATGACCTCGAGTGTTTTGACAGGCACCTGAAATAAAATGCGTAATTATTCACTGAACATTTTCATGATCGCTGCATAACTTTTTACATTTAACAAAAAGTAGATTGACATTTGAAAAAGGTTCATTTTATTTAGAGATTTCTGCAGGGCTTTTATTTATGTATTTTCACTTACAAAAATCCACAAACTGTAATTTCACCCAAGGGAACAAGTCTTTTGCATATATTTGTATGTCCCAACTCAAACAATTTTTTGCACAATATCATAACAAGCATGAGTCGTGATTGTATTACATTAAGAGCTCTGCATCATTCTAAGCACGTCACTCGCTCATGCCTGAGAACTAGGGCACAGAGACTCTTAAGGCTATGGTCTGTCTGAGCTGTCTTAGTGAGACACTTGAAAAGCATCTCTACGGTTTTTAGGGGGAGGACCATGTCTTCAAGCCCTGTTAGACTGAGCATGGCTGCTCTCCTCCTCCTCAGTTCATTTGAGGGTAAGCTCATCGAGTATGAGAAGTTTGCCGATGTCAGAGCACAATACTGCTGTCTATTTGTTTCTATGGACACTGGAGGTAAAGTTGCTCTGATTGGCTGCTTGGCAGCCAGTCTATTTCCTGACGGTGGCGGTGCTGTTGCTGCGCTGGTAGAACAGCACATAGGCTTGATTGGTCTGAAGCTGGTTCTCTGTGAGTGGAGTCACACTGTCAATGGGCAGACGAAGGGAAAGTTTCAGGTTTATGCAAACATATCTTAATACAGAATAAGCAGGGTTTCTCAAATATATAGACCACCTTTGATGTACAGTTGTCAAAATATGTATATATTGTGTGTAAAACGAAATGATATCTCACCTGGAATCATTGTAGAAGCACCAGCCATTTTCATCTAAGCAGCAGGCTGTGTAATGTCCCATGTTTACTGTCCCAGCATGGTTACATATTGCATATAAATCATACAGAACTGAGCCTGTGGGGACAAACATAGATCCAGAATTATATAGTAACATAAATACAATGAGTTACTTAATCCAGGGTTCAGAACTGTATTGTGTCAGAATTCCAGATGTGCAGTTTATGGAATAATCTCTGTTGCAAGCGATTAAATTAGGATGATTGCGTATATCCCAATATTCCTTTATTTTCTATTACAATGCATGGTTTGAGTCAGTGAATCATCATGTTAACCTCCCTATGCTTAAAACAACAGATTCATAGTTCACAGCTAAAAACCTTTTTTGCAGCTGATTTATGCCTTTTCTTCTAACTCTCTTTTTCCTCTCTCTCACCAGCCATTTGTCAAAATAAAATCATGTAAAGCAAGCTCTTAAAACGGTTTTGTAGTGCGCTCTACCCACTTGTGTCAAAAAGTTAAAAGCCCAGGTTTTCTTCCACATTTTATTGCTTCAACCTTTAGCTGCACTCCTTTTGTTGAAAATACAGCATAGAGGAACACAGCATGAATGGATCAGACAGGCTCAGTTCTCTTACCACAGTCGACAGGTCCGTATGGTCCAAGGTCCAGGTTGGTGAGTGGGAAGGACACATATATAGTGCTTTTACTGATGGACCACCTTGACGTCGTGAAACGGTTCAGATCTTATCGAGACGGTTAAGTATTATTAGCGTCACACATCTGTGCAGATAAAAATCACACGCCTAAAAGCATCACAAGTGGAAGAGTTGTTGCCAAGGATACGGATCACTATAACCTGGGGAAACCTCTGGATAGACAGCCGCTTGGTGCACTCTGTACGCCTGTTACACCTCTCGCACATCTGAAGAATGTATAAACACACATATACACACCTCAACACAACATACCTTACACATGCACACAGGGTCCGGCGTATATATCAAGTACAAATGAGCAATGTTGTTTAGTGAGCCACTAATAACTAAGATGCACTTAAGTTGGACACTCTTATGACAGAAAGAAATTCGAGAATTCTCATCATCTGCCTCACTGTTTATGAAATAAAATGTTTTTTTGTGCCAGATGATTGCATTTCTTTGAAATGTTTTCATATTGATGAGATCACTGTATTAGTCGTTTGGAGTCTAGCAGTTTACCCAACTCCCCGGTTTGATCCCGGGAGGGGACACAAATTCCTTTGGGCTTGTGACAGGAAGTGTAAAAACATCTGCCACATCTGGAGCTACCTGCTGTTATTACCCCCCATGTAAATAAGAGAGCAGCTGAAAGTAGCTTTACTGTTCAAGCCATTTGACTTCTTTCACACATCTATATGTTATGATCTTTATATGGAATAAAGACAAAAACGTAATGATATGTGTAGGTCATAAATGGATCAAAACTGTGTTAAATCATCTCCTTGCTTACAGTGTCTGTGTCGATATGTTTTAATCACACTATTGCTGATCCAGACAGTTGCTGAGATTCGACAATCATCGCTTTAACTTACTGGCGAATTCTCCTTGTCCAGTTTCTCCTCCTGAGAGAAGAGGTCCAGACACTCCCTGAGCGTGACCTCCCCAGTAGAACTCCTCTTGGGGATGGGCAGTGACAAATCGCAGAACACATCAAACGTGTTGGAGTAGTGAGAGCAGACTGAGCAATGCAGTGAGCTCCGCAGCTGGCCTGAGAACAGATCTGTAGGGACCAGAATGATCAGCGGTCTGCTTTAACGGGGATAAAAATAATGGATGAATTTGACTGGAGTGGCTCTCCTCACCAACAATTATGCTGTCATCTCTCTCCAAGTGCTTCTTCCACATGACAGCCGCCTCCTCAGATATTCTAAGGGAGGATAAGAAAAATGATCAGAACGTGCTCACATGCAGGTAATCACTGTTTTAAGGACAGATTTATTCATTTTAGCATACACACCGAAACCTAGCAAATTTTTGTTCGGGCTCCTTCCCGGCTCGTCTAACGTATGGTCTGCGATTTATTTCGGTATGCAGCTTGTTGAGTAGGAACCTGAGGAACTCCTGAGCATCCTGTTGACTGTGGTGAACGCAGAAAAATTAGCAACTAGTTCTTCACAAGAATCAAAAGTCTGTACAAGTGGAACAAGAGAAGGAGTTTAACAGTTTACACATAAGTGGTAAAAAAGTTGTTAACCTCGAGGAAAGGCGAAACAGAACCCCCCCACAAAACAAATCCATATCCTCACCTGTAACCATTGAAGTAAGGCACTGCTTCTGTGAATACATTGTAAAACTGTCTAGGATTTACAACTTTGTCTCCTTCATTTACATCCCAAAGGCCCGACAGCACCTTAGAGAAAGCTGGCATGGCAAGAAAAACAGAAACAAGAAGAAAACATGAAACTCTGACGCAGGAGAGACAGTCAAGACAGAACAGGAAGGAGAGGAAATGCACCTTCCATCAGTTTAGCTTCCTCTTTGGAGAACTTCTCGTGCTTGTAAGATCTGAGCAGGCAGTAGCCCCGCAGGCCACATGTGTGAGACAAACACTGGACAACTGCATTTAGAAAACACTGGGTCCAAAACAAAAGAAAAAAGGGAGAGTGATGTCAAATAATGTTCATTTCAGAGGCCCTTTAAGAGTTTCATCTGTGATCTTTACTTACAGTGTTTCCTACGTTTCTAAGGCCAGTCCTGCCTCTTCCTAAGGTGAGCTGCTCCTTCTGAAATGTAAAAAACAAAAGGAAGTCGATGAACACAGATCTGTCGGATCTGCGAGTACCATACAGAGCACTGTTCATTTATTTCAAAACACACAGTGTGTGTCCTACTACGTGACCTCTGGATGTGCTGGTACTCCATGTGACTGTCTGCCATGACCCCGCCATGTCAGTGTGTGTTTAACTTTGGCAGGACAGATTTAGCTTTCTTATCTCATTAGCATAGCAGAAGAGACTAAAAGGAGGTCAGCCTCGAGAGTTCATCCTATTAGAGACCAACGAGGGCTGACAGGTGTTTAAACATGTGTGTTGATGTGTATTCTCCCTTAACAACTTCACACCTTTCTTTGTCTGTGCTTGTGTTTTTCTCAGGTAAAATTTCACTTTAAGAGCTTTTAAAAGTTTGAGGATATATTAACGCCATATTTTTCCTGTGTTGTCCACACCTCATTGTCAGCGACCAGAAGCAGGCCCATCAGCGATGTGTAGAGGACAGACTGGGAGATGTCGGTCGTCTCTCTCTGGAGGCCGTTCTGAGACACCAGGGTCCGACACAGAGCTTCACAAGAGCCCTCCCCACTGACACTGCTGGCTCCAGGCATCCTTTTATACTAGTAACCGGCTAAAGTCGCTAACAGAATGGGTCCTGAGATAGAAAGGTGGCCTTCCCAAAGAAATCCTAGCCAGATGGTTTGCGCCTGAGATGGGGAAAGCTGTTCTTCCTAATTTATTTGACATTCAGACTCAGAGGTGAGCAGGACGCGGTGGTCTCACACAGGCCTAATCTGTCTCACAAGACATGTAATCCAGCTCTTTGGTGAATGAAGTATGATGAAGAACTTTTTCCTTTTCAGAAAAATGACATTTACAGCTGAAGGGAATAAAAAAAGAACAAGTACTCTGTGAATGACCGTCTCTGACGCTAAACCCGTCTCATAAGTAGATGAAGCTGATCCATTACACAACTGTCTCGTTACTGCGGCACGCACGAGAGCACAGAAAGTTTGCATCCACACATGAACATGTCACGTTTAAAACAAATTTTAAAAGCATTTTTGGAAATATCACTCGAGCTGGATTCAGCTCAACAGAACACATTAAAACACTCGGTTATGTAATCAATAACACACCAGTCACACACACGAGATCGCTTAGATCCTGAGATCTAAGCAATGCCAAACGTTACTGACTTTTGGAGGTAACTCGTAAACACTTTATTTGCAAACAAAGTAACTTTGCAAATAAAGCCGGTCAAATGTAGCAGGACTAACAAACACACAGAGCGGTCCGGACTCACCTGATCACCTGGTCACTCTGTGGACAAACTGTCCCAACCAAACTGTTCCCATCATCTGCTGAGCTGTTAAAAATGCATAAGGGGCCGTCTACTGTTTCACTGTGTGCCTGTTGGCCAGAGCTGAAAGTCTACCTCTCCCCTGTCCTGTCACCGGTGTCAATGAGAGAAGGAGGGAGATGGAGAGTGCGAGAGGGAGGGGTGGAGGATAATCAGCTCTAATCCTTTCTCTGTAGATCTTGTTGGCTATACTTAGACCTGTCTTTGTGTACTTTCCCACGAGTGCCTCAACAATCTTTTACGTGTCAGTTTATTAATTATACAAACTCAAAAACAAATTTTTTTCTTTGGTCAATTCACATTCAGTACTGTTCTCACTTTATACAGCAATCACTGCAATTGCAGACAGGAAAAAATAACAAAAAGAACATTAATATCGCTGAAAATATCTAAACACATTCATCATTCGCAGACAGTCAATGTACACGTGCCGCTCAGTCTGACAGTCAGCGACTGGTGTGGTCTGCCATTTCTGTGTCCGAGCTGAGGCTGAGCTCGGCTATGTGATACAGGGCGGGATCGTGGTGAGGAGACAACTGTGACTGGCTGGTGTGGGCTGTCCTGTCGCGTGACTGGACGATGGCTTGGCGCAGACAGGTGATCCACTGCTGCTTGCTGAAGGAGTCGTTGGCCTGCAGGCTGTACGAGTGAGCTTTGGCGCGCCCTCTGCTGCTCACGCGGAAACAATTCTTCACTAGAAGATGGAAAGAAGAGAAGGGAGAAGGAAGGTGAGCGGAAAGTTTCACTTCAGCTAAAACAGAGCACAGGGGATGGCTTACTGACATTTGTTTGTGTCACAGAATTCACCAGCAAATACGAAACAAATAAAGTATGCAGATTATGCGATCATATTACCTTTATCGTTTCCCCCTGTGAAGGCTCCTCTGAAGGTGCCCCCTCCAGCAGCCTCGCCGTCTGGGATCTCCTCCAGATTGATCAAGGCATTGGGCAGAGGCTGCCGGTACACGTTAAACACCTGACCACCGTCCTTGTCCTCTCCTGGTCTCGTCAGCACCAACACCAGCTCAAATAGGAACACATGCAGCCGCTGACGGGGGACAAGTGATCAAGAGAAATGTGCTGACACAGTTTCTAAGGCAGAGAAGCCAACTTTCTAGCACTCAAATCTGAACAGCCAACATCTTCTGCCCTCCTTAAATGACTTTAGCCTCTTCATTTGGATTCTGAAAGTGTGAAGACCAGTAAACAACATCTACCTGGCCCTTATTGTTCTTGAGTTCTCCATGGCAGTAGATGAAGCGGGACTGCTGGATCTCTGGCACTCTCTGGCCCTCTTCGAGGTAGGACAGGCCCCGCCTGTAGAACTGACACTCTGCTTCCCCCGTCTTTTTATTCACCTCTGCCACGATGCTCTGGATCAACTCCAACTGAACAGAACCAAGACTTTTTAATATGTCATCAACACAGGGCCCTTTTCCTCCTGTTGCTTCTTGTAGGGCTAAAATTCTGGGCTGGAGCCAAGAGAGTATGACTATGAATATTTAGAACATATTTAAATGAGTGGTTTGGTGTGATAATTTGTTTAGTCAACAGTATCCTCTTTCAAACACCATCAAAGGAAACTTTAAAGAGACTGCAGGCATCTTAAATGCAGCACTAACTGCGGAGTCATGTTTTTATTTGCTTTTGCAAACTGTAAATGTAAAAGTGATGAGCCAGATTAGTGAATATACTGGTAAGAATTAATAAGTGGCCTTGTTGCCATCTGGAGGCACTGTTGTGCAACGCAGGAAAGGAAATACTGTATTTTAACGTACTTGAAGACTGATGGATAGAAATGTGTGAATATTAATAATTTGGATTTACAGCATCTGATGCAACAAAAGAGAGGATGCTTTGCTAGACTGTAAAAATAAAACTAATCAGTGTTATAATTATAGGCTTTATATTTAAAAGCAACACCTTGCAACCATCTTGATAACGTGCCAGTGTGGATTTCAGTATTTTGCAGCTGCTGCAGACCTGGCACTGATTAAACTGTGAATTCTCTCACATGCTTGCAGATGTAAATGATTGTGTAGGAGCCCGACTCACAGCATCCGGCAGCGTGTCTTCATCTGGGTGGTCTGGCGGAGTGCACTTCTGTATCTCTTTCAACAGCAGAGGGTACTTGACCAAACGGCTCCGAGGGAGATCCAGGAAGTTCCACAGGTCCAGTTTCCTGCTGAACGAGGACTCCTGACACAGACGCAGAAAGTGCTCCACTCTTTTCTCGTGCTTTTTCTGGTCCAGCAAAGCTTTGGCTCCCACCTGGTTACAGCAATATGTAACATACGCCTCCAGGCAAGGAAACTGCAGAGAGAAGCATGGGAAGAGTGCGCAGCAGTGAGATAAGAAGGTGAAGTCAGCGGGAAAAGAAAGATGGAAACATGCATAAAGACAGAAGTTAGATTACGTTAAGATTAAGAAGGAAAATCAGAGAGAAGCTGAAGGCTGACTTTTCTTCTCTCACTCACCCAGTGCATTAAAGTTGGCCCCACCTCTCCAACCGTTTTCTCTGATCCTCTCAGTCGCTCGAGACGAGTCAGCAGATCTGATATGAATTAAAAGAAAACAGGATACTCCAAGTTGTGCTGACCTTATTTCACTACAGCTCAAAAACAAGTAGTGTGCATAAAAATACGGCACTTCTAAAAAAACTAATTAAAAAAATACAACTTCCCATTTTATGAAGTTTGTTTTCAGGGCTGGGCAGTGTAGAAGCTTTTATTTCTTTTTTAATGAGCCTTTAATTCAAATTATACCTAGATAACATTTAGTACATGGTATGAGCTGTAAAACTACTTTACCTGCTCCTGTTTACTTGTAACTATTTCAGATTGTGATGTAATTACACTGAACTGCAACAACCTATACTTTATCAAGACTTCACCTCATTGCCTGAATTTCATATTCAGGAAATGAGCTGGTGTGTTGATGCATAAGTGGAGCTCGAGATAGCAGCACAAGCTGCACAAAAACAAAGTTACCTTGATGGAGGGGGATGAGTGAGTCCAGAGTACCGAAGATCTGTCCAAGCTCACTCTCTGTCATTATGTCCAACTTCAACATGGGCTCATAGTACACCTGGGAACAGACCCGGGCAGTTAGCACATAAAAGCCTGCATGTGAGTGGATTAAATGTGTTGTTCAGGTTGAGCAGCTACCTTCTTAACCAAACTGAGGTCCTCTATGAGCTGTCTCTCTCCTTGGGTTAGCTCGTATATGACCTGCAGGGCATTTAAAATAGTTAACGAATGCGCACGTTATTGCCAGTGTGATAACAAAGATATCGACACACACACACACACACACACACACACACACACACTGTGTTGAGTTGCATAAGAAGTCAGTTAAATAGACAACACGAGCTCTCACAGCTGATTGTTCAATAAAGGAAGTTGAGCCTTCAGTGCCAGCTCACATCCTCTTTCATAATACCCATGAAGAGCAGCTTCACAGAAATGAAGAGTAGGTACAAGTTACTCCGCCTACACGGCAACCACAGCCACACAACTTGACCCATATACAGGCCCCCAAACACATTCTGCTATAGTAACAAGGTATTTTAATAACGAGGTTTTTGTTTAGCGCACCTCTTGCCGTTTGATTTCCTTTGCAGTCAGATCGTGACTTTCCACAGTGTCACTCCAACACTGGCTGTTGCGGCGACGTGGAAACGAGGAGGCCTTTGTCCGTGAACGCAGGGGGGCTGTGGGCAAAGGTCGAGCTTCTGTACGAAAACTGATAGACCGCTGAGAACAGAGAGGAGCAGCTGACTGTTATACAAAACCCCAAAACTCATTCACTGGTCACTTTGTATGACTGGACTGCGAGTGTGTTTGTTACCGAAATAGACTGGCCGATGCGCTTCAGAGCAGGGGTCTTCACAGGGTTTAAGACGCCTGTCAGGCTATTGGACTTTGCCACAGGTTTAACCCTCTTATTGCTGGGCTCCTGAAGTGAACCAAAAAAACATTTTTAAGATCTGCACAAAATAGTCCACAAGCTGTGGTTCATTCATTCAAACCTAACTGTGCACAAGAGGATTTTAAAACAACTGAACACAAATCTGGCATCTGCAGAACACCTCACCTCCGATTCCTTCAGGTCGGACGTCATTTCACACTCATCCTCTCCCTCCTCGTCCTGAAACATGTTAAAAAGTTAAAAATCAACTCGAGGTACACGCGAGTTCAGGAAAGTGGAAAGACAAAGATGGTGAGAGGCGAGATGTTGCATGGTGCAGATCTCTCATTTCCTGTGTGTCTTTCAAAGAGGAAGAAGGTTGAAAGTGTGCCTCTATAGTGAAATTGCAAGATGTCTGCCTATTTCTTTTTGCCACACTAACCACATCAGCTGTGTCTTAATTGCAAGCAACACTTTAATAGCATCAATAAAAAGCCTCGGATTATATGGATGATGTAATGTACAGCTGGCAAAAAAAAAAGAATATCTGAAAGGTGAAAATAAACCGAGATAAGCTGGAATTTAAGAAAATGAGACAAACTCCATTTATAGACTTGCAAAAACTTCCATGGTTGCAAACACAGCGCTCACATCTCCCGTCAGTTCTGCACTCAGCATTGTGGTCACAAAGGTAAGGTTGACTAACTTCCGTTCGTTACAGAGAAACAGAGAAATGAACATGAAGCAGCAGCATCGATGCGTCTCAGTCTCTTACTCACCTCTGAGATTCTGATCACAGGTTCAGGGGCCGGGTCTTGTTTTCTCTTCTTCTAAAGACAGCAGTGTATGAAAGTGAGTTTCTTGGACTAGTTTTTAGGACAATAATTAATTTTTTTTAAACGTTAGTTTTTAATGCAGGAAAAAGATGGTGCAAGAACCAAAGCCGATGTGGCAGCTTACCCCTGCATGATCACAGAGGACTGAGTGTCCCTCTGCTGGCACACCGGACCTGAAAAGAAGAAAAGCTCTTACTGGGCACAAATTAAACATTCATACAGGGAACGTATCTTATTGTGTGATACATTCAAAATAACACTTAAGTAGACAGTGTACATTCAAATGACTTGTTTATGTGCCGTGCTCTAGAAAAGTGCATTAAAATGAGTTTTTGTTCCACATGTCGTACAAATATGTAAGTTTTGTAATCATGCTGGTGACAAACACAGAAAATTCACACTTAGAACACGAAGTACGATTAATCAACAGGAATATTTTTCAGCACCAATTTGTAACAGAGCAGCCCAAGGTGGAAGCATAATAAATGCAAAAGGTACCGTACCAGGAAGTCCTTTTTTCACCAGTCTCCTCCACTTCCATCGTTTCTCTCTTCAGTGCATCTTTACCAAATCATGACACATTCTCAAAATCACAAATGGTCAAATAATCCAAATTTACACCCGTCTTCTTTGTTTGGGTCCTTTACAGCGAGTTGTTTGCAGGAAGCGTGTTGAGAGTTCAGTGTACTCCTTCCTCCTCACTTTCTTCCTCATCTCACAGTCGACCACATCCTTTAGAGTTGCACACATTCATGTATCCGCTCTCGTCAGGGAGGAGCGTTCAAAGCCTTACACAAAACGTATCAAACGTGTATTTAAACTAAGAGCACTTCACACACTAAAGTACCTAACGACATACTTGCTCCTGTGTGGCACAGATTAGCTACAGCCATTTGCCTTTTAAAAAAAATAAACAAAAAAATTATCCTTTGCCTACATTTATAAATTCAAAACGCCATCACAGACGATTTACTTTAACGCCGGAGTAAAAGGGGAAGAAAAAAGAAATCTGATTACTCTCGTCACTGTCATTTGGTATCTTGGTATTCAGGCAGCATTTCCCGGATGTGTTTAATAATGAAACTTCTCATTAACACGAAACAGGTCAGACAGGAAAAACAAACCTCTGACACTTTAACATTGCTGAATGACACTGACACGGTCGGTGTGTGTGTGTGTGTGTGACACAAAAATAACCACACAGTCTTCTTCAGTATGTTTTTACATCTTTATTCACTATCACACTAAGTGCTCCCGTTTCAAGATACATCTCGTTGCCCTGTTCTTACAGTTAAGTCATTTGGAGTTAACAAAGTAGAAAGACAGTTTAGGATCTACCACGTGTGTGCGCCAAAACTCTGTCCAACCACCCAAAAAATAAAATGGAAAATAACAAAACACATAAAATATAATGAGAAAGAGAAAACCAATGTCATGTGCACGAACCCCTCCCAAAGCCACAGAGTGGGTTTAATGAGGGTGTAGGGGTACCTCACACTGGCAGGGGTATTCAGGTGGTGTGAGATAGTCAGATATCCAGTCAGGAAAGGCTTGGGCTTATTGGTGTCTCCTGGGCTGACCTTTTACATATTAATTAGGTGCATATGTTAAGAAAAAACAAAACAAAAGAAACTAATGTGGGACTGTGTCTATGAGACAGAGGTTGGAAGAGGGAGAGAGCAAGTATAGTGGAGGGAAGAAGGTGGATTAGATTAAAAATCAAACAAAAACCTCCATTACTGCTGAAGGCCAATAAGAGTGATGGTTTTTAGGGACACTGGTTGGGATATGGAGTACCAAGAGACCACTAAGGCTTATCAATTCACTCAAGAGGTTGGTGCTTTTGAGAAACATCAGGATGTCCAGTGTACATGCTCCCTTCCTCCAGTGACACCCCTGTTCCCACAGCCAAGAACCAACTGGATTCTTAACATATACAGTTATTCTTAATTCAGCTTACTGGGGCTATGTACACTCAGGCACAGGTTTACACAAACCACAGGCCTAAAAAAATACTGATTGATCCAATACAGCTGACCTGGATCAACCCACGCACCCCCAATCCCCATTTTAGCTCCTCACTCAGAACACCCCCATCCCCATCTCCCCCCTGTAACTCCCACCCTCCTGCGGGTGGGCTCAGTGCGGAGCTCAGCGGATGGTGTATCTGACATAGGGCACTTCCACGTCTTCGTCTGAAAGGTCGTTACAGCATAGCTCAAACACCAGGGCTTTCACGTGTTTGCCCAGCTTCTTTTTGGACACCTTCGTCACAATCTCCGTCATACTGCAGGACACAGAAAGAAAACCAGTGAATACAAACTTTAAAATTCCAGCATGCAAATGAGGAAGCAGGTGTATGCACGTGCACTCACGGTAGGTCCAGTCTCTCTTTAAGTTTGGCAGCAGGCATGAAAAACGAATACAACATGGACACTCCCTGAGAAAGCATGGTGATCTCCAACTTATGCTCATTCTAATACAGAACAGAAACAGATCGTGGTTAATTGTATGCCAAGAACATGTCAGTGTGGAGAAAAGCAACCAAAAACCAAACCATGAGCTCAACATACTTTAAAGTAATCCAGAAACTGTCGGAGTGTCATTTCTTCCCCATTGGGCTGCAGTCCTGTGACCTCAAAGCGATCCCACAGCGTCCAGTCGATTTCATAGTACTGCGAAAGTATATACATATTAATTATAAGAGATCTTAATTATAAGCTCAATAAGAAAACCAGTTATTACATTAAAATTTCTCCTCAGCACACACTGATGCCATCAGTGTGAGAAGACAAGTTGAACTCACTTACACCCAGGCAGTGCAAAATGCATCTGACTAGTGCATCAGTATTAGCATGGCTTAATCATCACAGGAGTTTATTATACTGGAGTCAAACATTTCTCTACAGCGCAGACATCGTGCGCATCTTTTTAAAATCTCAGCAAATGGTAACGTATTTGCTTACCTTGTGTTTTGGAGCAGCAATGGGTTCAGAGAAGGCAAAGAAAGGCAGGGCCAAGTTCATGAAGCCATTTTTGTAGGACTCCAGCTTCTTGTGTCCTTTGATAATCTTGAAGAGCTCCAAGCACACTAGGCCGACAACTGCTGCTGTGGTAGTGGCGATAGCAGGGATGATCTTACCAGCTATCAGTTTGCTCTGTTTGGTGATTAAAAGGACAGTGATGAAGGGAAAAAACCAAACAAACAAACAACAACAAAAACACTCCCCAAACTTTATAGTGCACATAGAGAGAAAGCAAAATGTAAATTTCTGAGGTTGAGTTTAAGTTGTTTGTTTTCACAGAGTGCACTCTCAAATGTTTTTTCATTACTATTACAAAACGAATACTATTAGCAGGCACATTTTCCAATTAACACCAGTGTGAGAGCAGCTGGGTCTGTTTTCTTACCTTGTGCCTGTCTGTGGGGGGGATGTCATAGTTCTCTGCTCTCAGGTTGGAGGCTGCCACAATGAAGTCCATGTGAAAGTTGGTGTCATCATCCTGTTAACATATAGGCCACAGCCATTACAAACCAGAAGTACCAGTAGTGTTGATTCAAGTTATATTAATAGGTTGAAATTCTAGCGTGAGAGTTACAATGTTCTGGCAGTGCACCACTTAAAGGCATCTAAGCAGAGTTAGCCTTGAAAGCTATGGAAACAATACTTTCTTACTCTCATTATTATTAACAGACTAGGTTTCCAATTGGCCTCACTGCAAAGCCAGATGCTGTGTTTTATTGAATCTTTCAGATAAAAAGAACAAAGTCCTCAATGCCACTGACTAGCTTTGCTACCGGCAACTGTAATAAATTAAACAAATGTTATTTATCTTCATTAAAGCTGACAAAAGGAGACGCCTTACCTTTTCAAAGTCAATGGAGGTGAGTTTGAACTGGAAGGACTCTGGTGAAGGCAACATGGCTTTCAGCTCTTCCAGTTTGGTATCATCTGCATAATCACAAGATCAATGGTTGCATTACTGTCAAAGCATCCACAATGACACATGACTCCGTACAAGATTCACAAACAACTCTTAGCTGATGTAACATCCCCCCAAAATATGCTTTATTACACAACCACATGTGAACATACCAATAGAGGAATTGTTATTTTGCAGTTCCTGATCAGAGACGTGGATTTTAACTCCTGAACGTGGGGTGAAAGGGGGCACCTTGACATCCTGCAAGATCTTGATCACACCTGCACGATCGGTGCTGCCTTGCAGGCCGTATGTTTGAGCGAACAGGTTGGCTGCTGCCACAACATAGTCCATATGCAGCTCCTGAAAACAACATTCATTAGTTTGAGCCTGGCTGGACTAGACTCCGGTAATATTAAGCTTATAAATGACAGCGGCACACTTACATTGGTAGTGCTGAATTCTAACGGGTGAGGACATCGCTTTGGGCCAGACCAGAAGGGAGCACCGGAACTAGTGAGCTAAAAGACAGATGATAAATGTATAAGTGCTATAATGGAAACCTTTCATGTCCATTTTGTAATTTTTGTGTCAATTGCATATTTATTAAACAGGAAACCGTGGATAAATGACAGGAAAGGGGGTGAGAAACTACAGATGCAAACTAGGGTTTTGTGGTTCAGCGTCAGTACTGCTGACTGAGCCACTAGGCAGCCTTTCGTGCAATAGATACGCAGCAACTCAAACTGCCGTTTGACTCAGCTGAAGTTTAACAATGTAATTTCTGCTGTTTCTAATGTATGCCCACCATCTATAAATGGCTTTTCAGGGGAAATGAGATGTACAAACTGGCATGAATAAGTACACAGGAAGCCCCAAACTGTCTTTACACAAGAGTGTAAAGTAGTTTACTTTTATATAAAAGTCTCTTAATCATGACAATGTTTTTGTGACTTACTAAAATAATTTATCTGCCATCAAACGATTTTAGAAATGTTCAAAACCAATATCACGGTCCGAGTATGGTTTACCATGTTTGTGACAACTTTCATGCTATAAGCTAAAATCAGATTATCAGCTGCTATGCTACTCTGTGCTAACACGTGCTGTAACACACAGCAGCACCTCTCACTAAATTTGGTGTCACTGAGCCGACCTGCACAGAGCTCAAAAACAGAAGACAAGACATAACGTGTGGCCATTGCAGAAGTTACATCTTCATATAATCTGTTGAATAAGTTAATATTCCAATACTGTATGAAAAATGACAACACTTTTCTTGTTGCTGAAATGAATACCACCAATGCAACTATAGCTGCAAACAGTTGATAAGACGCGTAAAACCAAGATCAGACAATAACGGTTAGAAACTGATATTCATCTCGTAGCACCTTCACTTTGTACCTGATCTGGTGGGAAGTTGTGCAGTAGCTGGCGGATGTTGTTGCTGTATTGACACTGCCAGTGGTTGCGAGCCCAAGCTACGCAGTCAGCCCAGTTTTGGGGGCAATCTGTGACAAGACTCTTATAAAGAGCCTCCAGCACCTCCGCAGGCTGAGCTCCTGGAAGCTTCAGAGTACGCTCCATGAACTTAGGATCTCTGCAAGAATGGAAATTATAAACCTCATTGACTAGTTTCGACGATGTGAAGAGCTGTCATCTTTTTTTTAAACCATTTACTCTGCAGGCTGATTTTATGAATTATTTCGAGCATGAGGTTTGGGTTAGATTTTACAAGAAGACAGCTCAATGGCGCCACGAGAACCAAGAGG